CCGCTGCCCAGCTAGCCGGGACCCACGACTGCGCGGACCGGCCGTCTTCAGGCCAGGACCGGAAGTGGCCGCGAATAGCGCCGCGCGCATCGACGCACTTCCGTTCCTCGCGGCTTCCAGCAGGTGGCGCTGGGGCTCCAGGAACGCGGCGCTGGCCGTCAGCCCTCGAGTATTCTGGGAGTCGCAGTCCCGCCTCCCATCTCCCCTTATTTCCGGTCTCTTTGCGAGGGAGTGCCGCCGCTTCCGGGAGGGACGGCTATGGAGGGCGGCGCATGCGCAAAGGCCACACTCCCGACAGGCCTCGGGAGTAGCGGCTCAGTGCCTTGTGGGAGATGTAGTTCTTCAGGCGCCGAAGCCGCGGTTCTCGGCCGGCGGAGGACTCGGTTTCCCAGAGTGCCGAGCGCAGCCCAAGATGGAGGCAGCCGGGCTGCGGTGAGCCGGTAGGTTTATGGTGGGGAGGATGGCAGTGCCGTCGGGTCGGTCCTTGGGAGGCCGCTGTTCGCAGTCCGCTGCCCAGAGCAGGGAGACTCTCGTGAAGCCCGGACCCTGGCCCACCCACCCGACTTGGCCCCAGGACTCAGGCCCCGGACACGGAGAGCCGACTGGGTACTGGCCGAGGCCCTGGGCACGTAGAGTGGGAAAGTCAAGGCTCTGCTTCCCAGGGGAGAGAGAACCGTCAAGGAAGCCAGTGGTCCTGCTCCCTGGGACCTGGCCTGCCCATACCCTGGCCATGAGAAAACTCCGCCTCCGAGCCCCCCAGACTCAGCCTGGACTCAGCTCTGCCCTCCACTGAGCGCAGGAAGTTCTCAGAGAACTCCAAAGACCCCGCATTCCCTATCTTGGGGCGCGACCCCGTCCCTCCGCGGCGTGTCCCACTGATCACGGGCGCCCCTGCAACTCCAGGGCCAGGAATGCAAATTTAGGAAGCAGTTGTCTGGTTGAAACTCCAGCTTTGCGTGCAAAGTACTGTATAACGGGCAGATTATCTCCCCTACCCTGGTCCTGCCAGGTCTAAAACAGGCACTATTGGCGTTTGCTTCGTATTCTCTTTCTCTCCTGGAGTTGTTCATTTTGGGAGTCATGCATGGCCCAGAGCAATGGAGATCTGGCCTGTGTTTGACCTGGTACAGGGCACTCGGCCACTTCTGGTCCGCCTGGCCTGGTCCTCGGTGGCGCACAAGCAATGGGTAACCCCGGGCGAGGGAGGCTGGGTGGGGAGAGGGAGTTTGTGGATTTGGAGGGCTGTGCAGGGGGTGAGGGTGAGGCCAGGTTGTCCTCTGAGCCTGGACAGGCTTCACAGTGCCTGGTGACACCTGACCCCTGAACAGGTGTTGACATCACTACTCTGCTCAGCTGGGGAAGGTGAGGGGTGTGTGGAGGAGAAAGGCCACTGGAGGGAGCTGCGGGGCTTGCCTCTGCCAAGCAAAGCCTCCAGGTCACCACCAAGGCTCCAGCTTCCTGAGAGCTTGACCCTCAGGTGCCAAGGACTTAGCTGCAGAGCCCCCTGGAGCTCCCAGGGCATCTCTCAGCAATCAGGAGCAAGCCTCCTCCCCCAGGAGCAGGCCAATGCCCTGGTCTGTGTGGAGCCCTTACCGCGTGCCATGCGCCCGGATGAACGGTTGATAGGCAGCCCTACTTGGCCAAGAGAGGTATCGCAGGGTAGAGGTTACTCTGGGCCCTAGGTTCAAGCCCTGGCCGACTGCTTTAACTACCAGAACCGCCCCCCAGCTGGCTGCGTAGTTGCTCTAGTTAGACTTAGCTCGAGAGGACTGGATGACACATCAGAGGACCAGCTCCTGGGCCTGGCTGTGTCGAGGGCTCTGTAAACCCAGGCCCACTTCCCTGGGTGGTCGCACCATTTCTGCACGTTCACTGTCTGAGCTCATGGTTGGCTCTCCCTTCCTGCCCTCAGCCAGCGGCAGTTGAGCTGCTGAACAGAGCCGTGTCCGGGGCCTGTACCACCAAGAACCTTTGCCTGCGCTCGGCCCACCAGCAGTGTCAGCCCAGGCAGCCAGCAGAGAGGGGAGGTAAGAGGAGGGCTTTTGGGGTCGGGGGACATGGCCCGCCCGTTGTCGGACAGTTCTTCCTGCTGACTCTGCCCTGGGCGGTGGGTCTGCGGGAGGGACTTGTTCTAAACTTGTCTGTTCTCGGGCTAGGTGTGGCAAGGCCTGAGGACACATGGCCGAGGCAGGGGCGGGCCCGCAGCCCTTTGGCTTGGATGTCGACGTCTTGCCTTCCGACACTGTCTCCCTCAGCGACTCAGACTCCGACTTCAGTCTGCTTGACGATGCTGAGGTGGAGGCTCTATCCCCAGGGGGGCTGCCTGGGGAGTCCCAAGGGGGCTCAGGCCCCGATGAGCCCCCCTCGCCCCCCGGGAGCCTCCCCACGGCGGCGGTGCAGCTGTTCCACCTGCGGGGCACTAGCCCCACCTTCTCCCAGCGCAGCCATGACATCTTTGACTGCCTGGAGGGGGCGCCCGGCCGGCTCCGCCCTCCGTGGCCCAGACCAGCCTGGGTGATGATGGGGGCTTCAAGCAGCCGCTGACACCCTCCAGCCAGCCTCCAGCGGGGGGCCGGGGCAGGGCCAGTCAGAGCGCTGCCCCTCCAAAGGTGCCCCCCGTCCCCGACTACATGACCCACCCCGAGCGCTGGACCAAGTACAGCCTGGAAGACGTGGCTGAGGCCAGTGAGCAGAGCAACCGGGCCGCTGCCCTGGCCTGCCTGGGCTCCCAGAGCCTGGCTGCCCCCAGCGACTACACGCCCTCTTTCAACCAGGACTCCTCCAGCTGCGGGGAGGGTCGAGTCATCTTCACCAAACCGGTCCGACCTGGCGAGGACCGACCTGAGAGGAAGAGGGTCCTGAGGAAGGCGAGGGAG